ATATCAGTAATAATTATTTTTATAGTTAATCATCATCCTGTTCATAGCACAGAAATCAATTCAGTGATACTAAACACAAGGTTTTCTCTTCCTCCTGATCTCTCATACTCCCCAAGCAATAAGGCAATAACAGGTATCATAAACTGTCTTCCAAGGAAATAAAAAAGATGGGATTTTATGTAAACACTAGAAAGCACTTCCAGTGAAATGCAAGCAATATGGTATTGCTGAAGATTAAAGGATGAAGAACCAAAAGTGGTAAGAAAGTCTAGAGAAGTAGTATTTGTGTTAAGCTGAAAAGTTCTTAATTTATCATCAAAAAAAAAAAAAAACCACACAAGAGTTTTAAGCAGATATTTTCAACTGTGCTTTAGAAAGATCACATTGACAGGTGCACTAGAAGTAAAGCTATGAGAAGGCCAACAAGAAACAAGGAGCCCAACGAGGGCAAAATAAAAAAGGAGAGAGAAACAAGATATTCAGAAAGCAACTGTGATAGTTGGTCCATGGACTGGATGTACATTGAACAGTGACAGAAAGAAGGTACTAAAAGATGGCTTGAATTGTCAGTAACTCACACCAGAAAATTCAGTCATCTTTTATGGTGATTCTCTATAGTAAGATGGGTAATACAGGAAAGAAAATGGGTATGAAGACCATACAATGAATTGAGATAGGTACTTGCCACCCTTCCTCTGCAATGAACAACCACAAAAACTGAACAGATGATCAGGACTCTGGTACGTAAACAGCAACAAGCAAATTAAAAACACCAGAATGCAAAGTGCTCAACAGGTGATCATGATATGGTATCCTCTATCATAAACTAACTTGGTTAAAAAATAGAACTGAATATTTCAGTGGCAAAAGAGAGAGAACAGAAATCCTCTAGTTTGGGCTCAAGAAACAGGAAAGAACTACTAAAACTTAGGGAAAAAGGAGGAATCCCATCCCCCCAACCCTCTCTTTTTTGTCCTTTCTCTCATGCTCCGTTTCCCAGGGAATATCACTGCCATGGTAGCAGTAAAGATAGCACAGGTGCTCCTAGTGAATCAAAACCCTTAGGAAGGAAAACTTTAGTCTCCTGTGATGCTAAGTCTTCAATAAAGAGTAAAAAATCCAGCAGCTTATTCTCTATCCTCACAGTGCTCAGCATCAGAGATAACAAAATCCCTGGCATATATAGTTACAGCTATGAGACCAAAAAGTGGAGCCCAGGGAATGGGAAAGTACTCAGTCAATGGCAGACTAGGAAGAACTCAGGAAATGCCCATAACTTATTTATGATGTCCTCAATTCACCTTCAACATCAGTGTATGTGGATACAATCATGTTCTGTATACCCAAAAATTTAAGCACTGAGCTAACTAACATATTTCAAAACCTAGATCCCAGAGAGTCAACAGACGGTGTTGTACATGTGGGCCACATCTGGAAGGCATTGCAGAACTCTAAGAAAAGAGGTATAGCTAAAGCTACAAAACACAGAAGAAAAGTAGGAACTTAAAGCCTGGGCCTGACAGGTATGAACTATTTGATAAAAAATATATAATCAATAATCTCTTTGATGATGGTGCACTGTCTTACAGTTACAAGACTGGTTTGAACTAAAGCTGTTTTTAAATCATAGATGGAATATAGTTTTTTCTAAATTTCTTCCTTTTTATAGGCAATGTTAATAGGACATATTGACAGATAAGTCTTTCCCTTGTATTTGGTTCATCATCTCACAAAGGAATGAGTAATTTTCCTCTGCCTTTAACTTGGTGCGACATCAAAAGAGAAAATGAAGACAGATTATCTTCTTGCCAGTTTAGTGTGTTTAGTCTCAGTTCTTATTTCTAGCCTCCTTATGGTTTTCCTACTGTCTGGATTAATTAGTCTGCTACTTTAAATAAGAGGCACACATTTTTACTTTGAAAACATTGTAATCCTTCTGTCACAGTGTGTATTATTTCTCTTAAATTTCTCCTCTTTAAAAAAACTGCTTGTAAGATGACATGTTAATCTACATGGAAAACCCTAAAAACTCTACAGAGAAACTAATCAAAACCATCAACCAGTTTAGCAAGATAGCAGGATATGAAATCAATGCACAAAAATCAGAGGCCTTCATATACACAACCAACCAATCAGAAGAAACAGAAATAAAAAAAACTATCCCGTTTTCAATTAAAACAAAAAGAATCAAATACCTGGGAGTCAACCTAACAAAACAGGTAAAAGACATATATAAAGAAAATTACAAAACACGATTAAAAGAAATTCAAGAAGACACCATGAAATGGATGGACATCTCCTGCTCATGGATCGTGGGAATTAACATCATCAAAATGGCCATCCTACCAAAAGTGATATATGGATTTAATGCCATCCCAATAAGTCTCAATGACATTCTTCAAAGAAATAGTCCCTGTGTTCTTCCCTCCTCTCTTCTAAGCTCTTTCCCACTTCACCCTTGCTGTATGCTTCAGATCTATGGTCAGCTTACAGAGGCAAATTTTAAATAGTATATAACTACCTCATTATAGAGAACTTAATGTCTGTGAGACCTCTTACTTTTCCCATAGTTAACATCAGCTCTCACTTTATTCAGTTTCATACTACTAGGTGTATATTCTTGTTCAAATTAGATATAAATAACTCTATAGACAAACTATATCTGATTAATTTTCAATAATTAACCTTTAATTAATTAACCTACTATTCCAAAGTGTTTGACAAACTGCCTTACTGATGAATTATTGAATAAATAATATACAATGCATATACCCAAATATACTAAAACATACAAATTCTTTACTGTTAGCTACTTCTTTCCAATGCAAACTTTGAGCATATATTTTATCAATCTAGGGAATGAAAACTTCTCTTATAGTTTTAGAAATATATAAAACCAGTTTAAAGTGAGAAACTTCACAAACAAAAGTATGTCAGAAAGAGGACCCCACAGAAGGCTTGAGCAACACGTAGCATGCTTGAGGACACTTTGGAATCTAAGTGCATTAGAAGGCCTGAAGAGCAGATGATAGTTCTTATAGTAAGAGGGTTACTTCCAGCACACTGTACAAGTCAAGAAGCAAATCACTACCTTTGAATAGGAGTGATATGTGAGTTAGAATGAAATGGCAGCCCAATGCTTTGGGTAACTGGTGATAATTAGAAGAATGAGTCTTCTAAGCCCAGAAACTAAGTTATTTACCTGGCCGAACATTAGTATGTCTCACTAACCTCACTCACACTATAAAATGTACAGACAAGTCAAGATCACTCAAACAAAGGCATGAAGTAGATACACCAATATGAACACACCACCAAGAACACTCAACATTTCATGAATTCGAACACTATAAAATAGAACTTTGAAGAAAACGAGTTAAATCACCAGCAGCACACTAAAAACATGTTTTGTTTTGTTTTTTTAAATAACTACAGTAATTTCAGAGAAGTGGGAACAACAGAGTAAGAAGTTTCAGGGGAAGCTAATTAGAATTCATGGGCATGAAAATTCAAATTTCTAAAACTAAAAGCAGCTCAATAAAGGGCCTACAAAGCAGAGTAGACAAAAGAATATGTTAAAGAGTGGAAATTTAGGCTTAAGAATTTCTTTCACATATGGTCAAAAAGAAGAGAGAAAAAAGATGAAAGAAAAGGATAGGAAAATGGACATTTGATATCTAGGTTCCAAGTTTACCCATTTAATACTAGTTCCCTTAAGGAGGAAAAGGAGAAAGGGCAGTATTTCAGGAAATGTTAATTAAGAGTGTCCCAGAACTGAAGTACTTACACTGAAATTTTTCAGTTAGAGTATGAGCCAGCTAAATTAAAAAAAAGAAGTGAATTTCAGAACATAATAATTGGTCCTGAATGATTCCAAAGACAGAAGATCCCGCAAAAATGAAATGATCCAGAACATAATCACATGTTTATCTCATTATCAACAATGAAAGGCAGAAGATAATATTTAAAAGTACTATAATATTTAAATGTTGAATATATTATTTACCTAGCTTGCAGTCCGGATTAAGAGGGGCCAGATATACCTTCCCACCTTACACAACTAGAAGTCTGGACAAAGTATAAAAGGTAATGATTTTCAAACTTCAAACACTGGACAATAGGCAGCACAACACCATGGGAAAGCAGGGAAACAAGTGAGCTAAGACAGCACTGACCATCACAGAGCGCGAGAGAACACAGGGATCCACAAAAGGGTTTCTTCTGTGAGTCTCCCACTGAGTGGCGCTTAGAATCATGTCAACAATTCTTCACTCATTAAAAGTATTTAAATCAAAAGCAAACTGATAAAAAGCCCTTAATATATGAACTGAAAAACTGAGGCTGCTAGAAAGCAGGTGGTGGGGTGGGGCTGGGCTCAGTGAGGCATGGTGGCAGTTGGGCATGTACAACAACATACCCTTGTAGAGGCTGAACCTATACTGAGCCCCTAAAGTGCATACAGTGATACAAACCAAGTTTCCCTCAATAAGCATAACTGGAAAAGAATTAAAAATAAAAATACCATCCTATTTATAGTCTCTTCATACATATATACCTCTTTCCAAAACTGTAAACTACTTGCGCCTATAGCTAGATATTTATCTTACATGTTGCAAAGACTTCATCAACATCTATTGAAGAAAAGGTGAATGAACATAACTCCCCTCAATAAACCCAAAAGTAGTAATATTTGGGGAAAACCAGCAATGTAAGAACTTACTTAATATAAATAATAAGGTTATTATACCTACCTCTATTCTTTTTAAGGGAAGGATACAACTATGAATTTACTCTATTAAACTAAGCAAAACCAAAATTTTACCCTGGGTGTAAAAGTTAGAGCAGAAGAGAAGTTAAACAAGATATAGTACAACTTCACACGCTGTAAATACTAAGAACAAATATTTTCAAAAGACTACAATTCCCCTCATTTATACCTACCTTATTCCACACCTTCACCTGAATATTATTATGTTCAATATCTTTAAAAAAAATCATACCATGTGTCCTTCAGCTCTAGCTTTATTCTGCATTGCTTCCCGTTTTCGCTGTAGAAACTCTTCTACTTGTTTAGCTCTCTCCACAGCTGCCTGGCCCTTCTGCCTGAGTAGTATAGAGAAGCAGGAAAGTCAGAAATTCTGAACATTATATATTCCACAAAGCTAAAAATTATACATATTCTAGATATTTTGTTATAGAATATTAAAAAGGTTGATACAAAATAAAACCTTCCACTTGATGAGTAAGCTAGCTATAAATTAGTATCTACTGCCTAAACCACATCCTTAACTATTTTAAATAGCAGCGAATTCTATGCAACTACTCTAAATCTAAGGATTTCCTCAGATTTATGTAAACTTTTTCTAATTACAGATACATAAAACTAAAATACTGTACTTATAACAAAAATCTCGAAAGTTATTTCTGAACTTTGTTCAAAACATCTAAGACCTTTCTTCAATCCATACTGAAGTGAAATCAAAGCAGCTCAGTAGCAATTCAAAAGTGAACTGAAAGAATGAAAAGCTTAGTTCTGTGAGTTTTAAAAGATACAGTAGGAAGTGGTATCTGAAATCTTTTAATATCATAACTATTAAAAGTATTATGAATAGGTTAGGGAAAAAGTTAAAAGCATAGTTATTTGCTTTAATCTCTTGCAGTTATATTTTTGTATCTCTAACAATTATAAGAGAATGCAAAATGTTAAGCTTAGGCTATATTGATAAAAATTTCTTGAACATCTAATAGATATTGTATCTGTACATGCTAAGTATGGGAGATATAAAAATAAGTAAAACCCAATCCAGTAACAAGAGAACTCATAGTATAGTATCAACTGCAGAAAAATTTGGAGGTGAGGAATAACGATGAGCAAATTATTGGCTGTACTTCTACTTGGATTTTGGCTACTCAGGTATACAAATTTCCTGTTAGTGTGTCATTTTAGGATCATAACTAAGTTATGTTTTGAAAAATACATGAACTAGTGGTACATTTCCTTTGCTCTAATAAATTATTTAAACATTTTTAAAAAGCTCTTCCCTCCCTTAAAATGGAGGATGCCACTAAAAGTTTGTAATTTGAAAACCTGCATCCTCTGAATACAATTCTTTATCCAGTAAATCATTCAACTAACAATCGATTTCTTCACCTCATTTACATGAGACATCCTCTCCACAATTTATTGCTGAAGTTTATCTACTCTATCAGGTGGCTAAGTAATTTTTTCATGATGTCTCTTGGTCAAAAGATAAACCTAACAGTTTCATTTATTAAAGAGTTGAGTCCAAGCTGCTTAATGGAAGTAGTCTGCACTTTTCCAACAGATGTATTTCCCTCAAAACTGTAAAATATCTTAAGTACTATGGTGGTTCCCTAACACATAAGCAAAGCTAGAGTTACAAAAACTGTAGAAAGAAAGATTAGGATATCACGAGAAAGAAGGATTATGTTTGACATGATCCAGTCCTTATATAGCATCAGTGATTACTGTTTCCTTTTATGTCTATGGACCCTACTTTAACCCATGCGTGGGATCAAAATGAAGAAAGACAGTCTCTAGTTATAGAATTTGATTTCTGAAAATTATATGGTATTTGCTAATCTCCAGTTTTCTATCAGGTCCTCAAATAATATCAAAATAAATTCAACAAGTATATCTGAAAGGTCAATGAGTACTTGACTATTATATTAATTATATAAATTTAATTATATATAAATTTAATATATTAAAACTACATGTTAATTTTAAAGTACCCAGTATTTTAAAATTCTATTACCCACATAAATCAAGAACTTTTCCATCTGCTCATTAGCAGTATAGCAGTATCTCAAGAAGCTAAGAAATATTTTTAAGAGTGTTTAGGGAGCTGAACTCTACAGTCAAGATAGACTTATTCTAAATCCCAGCTCTACAACTTGCTGCCTGATCAGACACAGGTTTTGAATCTTTATAAGTTATAATTTTCTCATCTTTATTAAAGGAATTTAATATCTAATTTAGAGAGGTGCTGTGATGAATAATTACAACTTAGTATGTAATAAGTTTTCAATAAGGAATATCTATCATGGAACACAGAAACTGTACACTGTGTTTGTATGCTAAGTCCACCAAGGTGTATATAACTAAAATAATAAATGATCTCACAACCACAAATGCTCTAAAAATGGAAAGTTTTAAAAGTAGCATTATATTTGATGCTCATACAAAGACTGACTGGAAGGTATGATAGAGTGGAAGAGGCAACTTCCATTTAAGACAATCTGAAATTCAAATATAAATAGATGTAAACATTTCAAGTTATAATTAGGTGATTCAAAAATTCTGAAATAGTTATTATTTGTAGTTCCAAATGTGAAGAACCAAGAAACCTGAAAGATGAAAAGTGTGAAGAAGCATTGCAGAATTTTCCCTATTTCCTTGAAATGAAATTTTATTGCATTAAAATAAAGCCAAATATAATATATACTAGAAAGGCAAATAATACTAGAGGATAAAAGCCACAGACAAAATATGCTTTGTCATATCATCAAAAATATGCCTATGTGTGAGTCTGTAACCGTCCTTTCTCTGAAAAGAATCTACAACTAGCTTAATACTTCAGGCTACCATATATAAGTAATAATGTTAATTATATTGACCTCAATTATCTCTCCTTGACTATATTTTCATCTTCTTTTATAACTGGTCGACCATAAAGATTTTTATGATACTTGAAAGTGTTTTCCTTCAAATGACAAGGAAAAGGCAATGTAAATAAAGTTTCACAAACTTCTATCTATTATTGTTCCTTAGCCAGCATGCTTTATGTACGATATAGAGATGTCTAATATGCATATTTAATAAAAATGAAACTATGTAAATTAAAACTATGGACTGCTACCATATTAAATAAATTCACTGGAAGAAAAGGAAGAAAAATGAACAGGATCACAGAATAACATAATTCAGAGATGACAGCAAAAACAAAGCAAAGCAACAAAGAGAAAAGTGGGGTTCTAATTGATGAAGAAAAGGAAAACAAAAAAGTATGCTTTCAAGTTTTGCATAAAGTATGATTCCATTTAAATATATTCTGATTTAAACCATATGTTGGTTGAAAGTTATCACATGTTCCTTTAAATCCTGTGTTTAGCCTATAATATATAAACAAACTATAAAAGTTAGGGTGAAGAGGTACATGTTCACCAGATGTAATCAAGGGCCAAATGCCCCTAAAAAAATTACTACCGTCAGAAGGCAAAAAATAGTCTATGTAATAAATGAAGAAAACATCTGCAAAGTGTAGACACTAAGCTACACATGATTTAAGACAAATTTCAAACAAAGATGAGTTTGTAGATCACAGTCCAGTTTGTACTAGCTTGTTCAGAAACAGCCTTCAATCTTTGCAAAGTTTTTCTAATAGCATCAACAAAATGGTGAAGAACTACAGCCCCACTAGGGAACCCTGGATGTACTCCACGTGGAATTCCTCTGTAGATAAATTCATACAATGACTTTCACTACCTTCTCTGAACAAAGCATAAGCAACTTTTTTTTTTTTTTAAAAAGATGTATTTATTTGTGCATACAGAACTGGGGTACAAGCCAGAGGTGCAAGGGCAGTGAAAGGATCCACCAGAGACAGAGTGGGGAGCAGAATGATCAGATCAATGAAGTACAGTGGTGAGTGATGCAGAAGGCGGGTCATGAGAGGTCTGCTGCGCCATGTGGGCACCTCCAGGGCCGGGATCAAACTTGCACTGAGGCGGCTGTGGCTCGCTTGCAGTGCCGTGCCTTATCCCATTGTGCCTCCAGGGAGGGCTGCATAAGCAACTTCTACAGAACATAGCCATACCTTTCTGAAAGCCTTCGGCCATGGACTTCACCTTTCCATTTAGCTTCATTATCTTCTGCTCTTTGTTGTTGCATTTGATCAAAAATAGCATGATAATGTTCATACTGTCCTCGAGAAGAAAAAGATGGAGCCACAGCTCCTCCACTGCCAAAAAAGGGAGCCTAGGGATTAAACAGAGAGCTTAACAAGTTTATCTTATAAGGCCTAAAAGGCCTTTGCTACTTTCAAAGGCAAAAAAAGTAAATGTTAACACTTCACTTTTAAAAAATAATTACCTAATTTCAGCTTGTTTCCTACTTCGTTATAATCATGAGCAGTCAAAAATTTTGTTACTTACAGTAAAGTATAATTTAACCTAACAAAAATAGCAAACGTCACCAAAATCATGCAACTATGAAAAAAATCTGGTGTTAACAAGTTTTGCAGTAAGTTTCTAGACTACATCTCATACCCTCTGTTCTATTAATTTTAAATATGTATAGTTTTTAAAGAAAAGTAGATTTGCATATGGCATTGAATATACTCCCAAATCCATAAATCAAAAAGTAATGAGGATATAAATATCATTAAAACATACTCGATGTATAGATAAAAGAAGCTCTATCCTTAAGCAGTTTACACAGTTGGGGAAAGAAAGCAGAAAACCAAAAAAAATGTCATGCCTATGGCAAACTAATGGTAACAAGCATACTCTAATGAGTTAAGTATTGAGCAAATTCACAAAACAGAAAAAAATTACTGTAAGTAAAAATCCCTAAGAAAAGTCAGGAGAAATATAATGTCAACTTAGTCTTAAAAGCAATGTAACAAAGAGAGATTAAATGACTATATATGAGCCAAGAAATGAAAATAAAAATAAGCAATGTATGTATGTATTTGAGTGTTGGCAGTAAGAGGGAGGAAGTATGGACGCAAACACAGTGATACTTGGAGATGCTTGGATAAGGTTCCAAATCATTGCCATAAAAGGAAATATTACAATTAAAACGTGTCACATGAATTTTTGGTTTCCCTGTTCACATGAAATTTATGTTACACTGTTCTATAAGATATTCAGTGTGCAATAGCATTATGTTTAAAAACACAGTATGTATACCTTAGTGTAAAAATATGTTATGGCTATAAATAATGTTTCCATCTTCTGCACTGTTGGAAAATGGTAAACACAGCCTGCTACAAACCTTCAACTGTAAAAAGCACAGTATGTACAAAGTGCAACAAAGTAAGCCACAAGGAATGAGCTATGCTTGTATAAATAGAAGGAAGGCAAAGAGAGAACATTAAGTTTGATAAGAGATTGGCATGGTAAACTTCAAGCATGAGTGTTTGCAATCATATAACAATAGGAAAGAATTTATCAACTTTCCAGTAAAAGTAGCAACAGGTTTCTAGTAGGCCTATAAGTCAAAGCATGCATGATAATCAGAAATAGGAGAGAACAAAGAGGAATTAATCACTTTGCACTACATCCAGCCCAAGAATCCTAAAAGAGAAGCAATCTAGGAAAAAGATATTAAGGGAGTTGTAGATTCTCTGCAGGCATGACAGATAAAGGAAGAGGAAAAGAAATAAGGATCAACCACAGAAATTTAGTAACTAAAATGCATAGAGAACTCATAAAAATGGAGATATCAGAAAAGAGCAATAGTTAAAAGTAATAAGGGGATAATGCTATCAATGGAGGAACTGAAGAGGAAATCAGTAACTTCAAATGCACAGGTCAACAGCAATGAAAATAAGGTAAATTTATATGACTGAAGCTGAGTGTCTGTGTGGGAAGTGATGAGAATAGAAACTGCAATACTGAAGATGAAGGAGGAAAAGCTTCCAAGTAGGAACATCTTAAGAAAGAAGTCTAGCTATAAGAAAAGGTACAAATGATAATATTAGAGTCAAATAAAAGAACTTTGTGGACCCAGTGAGTAGAATGTGTTACATTCTTGACACACTAAGTTGTACAATAATGTAAGACACCCTAATATCTTTTTTTTTAAATATACAAATATATTTATTAAAAAGATTTAAGGATATCTTTCCAGTCTTTGAGCAGCCTTACCCTAATATCTTTTTAACTCAGCTCACAATAATATAAATAATTTGTTTAAATAGCAAGAGAACAAAGTTGCTAGAAATAGGGACAATAACTAGATTCCTTTAGAAACTTCCATTAGAGTCCTCACATGTGTCTTCAAAATGTGAATCTCACTTGCTGGTACAAGTGGTGACATCTCCAGTAAAAGACTGGTTATTTTTTTAATTTAGTCCATAGCTATTTAGTATCATCCTAAGTGCATTCCAGTAGGCTAATGTTTCTCTGTAGCAAAAACAAAATCTCTAAGATTCCTATACTCAAAATAATGATAAATTTAAAATTTTAAGAAGAGGCTGATGAGTTCTGACATACACACTAGTATAATCACCACAACTGAAAGTATATCCCTCCCCCTAAAGTTCCCTCATGTTCCTTTGCAGTCAGTTCTCTTTCACGCCAGCAATTCCTGAAAAATCACACAGGTTGTATCTGCCTTTTCCCTCATTTCATATAAATGGAATTGTACGATATATATGCCATGTCTGGTTTCTTTCACTCACTATTTCTAAGATACATTCATATTGTTACATGTATAAACAAATTAGTCCTTTTTACTCTTAAATAATGTCCCAGTGTATTCTCAAAGAGCAGGTGTGCCTCCTGCATATTATATTATAATCACCATAAGATCAATATATATGCATGGAATATTTGATAATTTTTTAAAAAAACAAACATTCATAAGAGATCTATCAAGAAGGCAACAAAAAAATTCCCACATTTTATAGAAACTAAATAATCAAAGGTAGTTGGTTATTTGTACTGTGATTTAATGTCTTATTATTGAGAGGTATATAATAATAGTATTAATTTAAAAATATTTCCCTTAGCATTTGGTTTTTGTTTTATCTTTATTTTGGGGAGCTCCTTGATTTGATTCACATTTCACTGAACCTTCAGGTCCTTATCAACTGTACAGATATCAAATAGCCCAAGAAGTTAAATATTTCAAGCCCTTGGAATAAATATAACTAATACAGAATTTGCTTTAAGTGATGGAAAATAAATTATTATATTTTATTAATTCTCAAAGAAATCATTATAGAGGTTTATTAAATGATATTAAGGTAGTCTTAATACTCAGGAAACTGTCTCAATTTGTTATCAACCATTCATTAAGATGGATTTTAGGATTAAGGACAGCTTTAGAGATAGAAAAAAGATTTTATCATAGAAAAAAAAGAATATATACACAAAAGGAGAAGAAAATAATCAAAATCTCACACTAATTATAGACTTATTAATATAAAATATTTGACAAGACCTGAGGGTCTACATTTTAATTGTAAATATTTCTTTTCCAATCAGATAGTTTAGGGGTTAGTTACTTTAGAATGGGCCAAATTCTAGCTGAGACATTCCTAATATTTGTGAATTAATAAGTTCTACTAATAGTGAAATATAAAAGTACAGTATAAAAACAGTAAAATATAATTTTATTCTGTAAATAGTATTTTTTAAAATTGAGGTAATACTGATATACAACACTATGTATGATTAGGTAAGGTTCACACTCCTTCAAATTTTAAAAAAGAATTGCAATACTACAAACTGTATACACCTATATTAACAAAGAATTTTAGAAAAGTAACTTGCTAAATTATTGACAGATAACATGAAAAATATATGCATCTTAAGAGATTGAAAAAAAGTAAGAAATTCAGGACAAAATAACTACATTAACTCAAACATTTACTCAAATAATATTTTTTTGGATAAAGAAACAAGAATAGTAATCAACTTGATAAACATCAGACACTTAAAGGGTCAGGGGAATTTAGTTTAAACACAGTTGATTAATATTTGATTAGATAATACAAATTAAAATTATAACATAGAAGAATAATGGTGTGCTGTGTAACAAATTACCAAAAACTTAGCAGCTAAGAACAACATACACTTATTATTTGGAGTTTCCCTGGCCTAACAGTCTGGGTATGGTTAGCTGGGTCCCTTGCTCAAGATCTTACCGGGTAGAAATCAAGGTGACAGCCATGGCTGCAATTCTTATCTGACGCTCAGGATCCTCTTGACAGAATTTGTTTCCTATGATTGTTTCACTAAAATCATCATCTTTTGCTAGTTATTAGTCAAATGCCACTATTAACTCCTAGAAGCCACCTATATACACTTCTTTCCCACCTGAGTATGTGTTTCCTTCCAGGTCAGCAGAAGCATGTCTGTTTTCTCACCTTTCAACTTATGAAGGAGTCTTACTAAGGGAACTGCTTCTGTGGCACCCTATTAATAGGTCCCGCCCATACTCAAGGGGGAGGAGTAATACAAGATATATATACCAGGTGTCCAAAATTTTAGGGACAATCTTAGAATTCGGCCTACCATAAATATGTAAAAGATGTTACAAGCACAAAAGAAGAAATCCAAGATTCAGATTGACAGAAGAAAGAAAAGGAAGATAACATATGAGCCCTTGACAGCCAAGCTCCAGGAACTATTCATGCAAATTTCCTTTTTCTATTAATGAAAAAATAAAAGCTCAGAAAAGCTAAGTAAAATTGCCCAGCTTACATAGTTTGGATCTACCCACAGGACATGTCTGAATTAACTTATTTGGCTAAGTAGTTACTTAGGTGAATGGTTGGAGGTGGGACCATGAGTGAGGAGGAGCAAGGGATACTATCAAATTTACAAATGCAGCTCTCCTGCCCACCTGTCTCTATGCCGGTGTCTATTTTAACAAACCTGTCTTTTTCAGAGGCAGCTTTTACTGCCTGCTTGTGTCTCTGCAAGTATCCTTTTACTTTCCTTCCCTTTTTAATATAATAAACCAGGACTTTTGGATATAAAAAGAAAAAAAAGAAACACAAGTGCAAACGCAGAGACCCAGCAAGCTATATACAGTAATAAGAAAACTATGAGTATTATTTTTATTTGTTTCAGCATTCCTAGAGCATACAATGTGTAGCAGGGATTGGAATGGAGATGAGCTTGAAGACACTGAGCCAGAAATTAGTCTTCTGAAAACTTAATATGAAGGCTAAATGAAACCATAGAAGAATGAGGCAGGAAGTGTTAGGAATTGCATTTGATTTTGAAAAGATTATTCTTCAGGAATGGTGTATCACACCTTTTACATCAAACTATTAAAGCAATGTTAAGAGTGTCACATACTCATTATCAATACAGGTTATGTATAATACATGCAAAAAAACCCCTAAGACTTCATAAAAGATGCTGAAAATCCAAAGTAAAAATTAAATGCAAGAAAACAAAGAAATGAGTCAATTATATACATTTTAAAGAGCCAGGTAAAAGCAGAGGGAAAAACAGCACTAGTGATTGCTAGTGGCAAATGTCTACCTTTACTTCACCGCTTCCACCAGCACCCAGCACATTTCTCCATCCTTGTTCTCTGGCCCTATTTATTCTTTCCAGCTTTTGGGGAAAAGAAACAACAAAACACCATTTCAAGTATTTCATATAAAACACACGAAGTACATTTAATAATAAAATGGACATCAGTATTTTCCTTAAAAAAAACAGTGTATGGTTGGGGAGGAGACATACTGTACCATAGAAAAAGACATTTTCTTACTCTTTCCTTTTCCTGTCTTTTCATCTGTTCCGCTTTCATTAAGCTCATCTGTAACAATTTTAAATACAAACTTCTTAGAATTCTTGAAAATATTATCATCTACAACTAAGTAAGGGAAATAAAAGCAAAAAAAATTACCTGATCCTTTTGCTTCTTTTCTTTTTCAAAAAATTCCAACCGCCTCTTTCGTGCTGCTTCCTTAAATTAAAGAACATTTTTATGAATGTTATGTTCTAATTTCAACATGAAAGTTAGTGCACCAATGGTAGACATATTGCAGGGAAGTTTAGGAAGAAAAAAAAAGTAATAGGTTAGAGGTATATGAGGTTTATTGTTTGAAAGAAATAAGGAGGAATTGTTTGGAGGTTTTATATTACAAATTTTGTTTCTTTTTCTGTGATTATTTTTGCAAAGCTTTAAAATAAGCAGACAGATGTCTTTATACCTCAAACATTTTCCTCCTTTCTTCTCCAGGATTCACTTTCTTCACTGGAATTTGATGGGCCTGGACAAAAAGTAAAACTATAAATTAGATAAGCATTTTAAGGTACCCATTTGAAAATTTCAAATTTATTGAAATTTAATATAAGAAAAAGTGAACTAAATACTGCCATTTTCTTTCAACATAGATTAACACTAAAATGAAAGAACCAGTATAGTGCTTGAAATGGTATTTGTTAAACAAAGAGAAATACTAGAGTTGATGAAATTATAGAAAAGGATTCTTCTTCATCTTCATTTTTCCTTTTTTTTAAACATATGATATAAAAGCAAAGTAGTGAAAAGATAAAGCGATTAGGAAAAATAAAGGGAATATCCACATATCTACCACCCAAGTAAAGAAACAGAATATTGTAACACCCAGAAGTCTTCCATTGACTGACAATTTTTAAATTAAATTCTTTAATTAGTAAGATTATATATGTATGTGCATAAAAAGTAAGAGATATATACACATACATATATATTAAAATTTTATTGACTTACTACTGTTTCACAATACCACATAAGTTTTGGCAGTACAGTTTCACCACTCAACTATGTACCTTATTGCATGTAACACCAAAGTTATAGTCATAGTGCCATTTGCAACTTCAAAACATTTAAGAGCCCTGGAGACACCATTACAGAACTACAAGGAAGAAAAATACACATTCGTAGATAATGCACCTCACTGTATTACAAACACACTTAACATTTCAAAGATATGTTCTATGTATATGGAATTGAAACTAGTAAAGAATGTTATCCAGGAACTTTGTAAACTATATAGCCCCTCCATACAAAGGGCTATCTGACAATGAGAAGGAATGAAGTCTGGTACATGTACAGCATGGACACATAATGCAAGGTTGGAAGCATCATGCTAAGTAAAAGCAGTCACAAAAGACCACAATATTGTATGATTCCTTTTATATGAAATGTACCAAACAAGTAAATCTCTATATGTACATTACTGAATGTCAGGACTGTAGGGCAGAACAAGAACAGGGACTACTAAGGGGAAAAGGATTTCTTTTTGTAGTGATGAAAATGTTCTAAAGTTGATTGTGATGATGATTGTATTAACTTTGTAAATAGATTAAGTACTATTTAATCCCAAACTTTCAATGGACGAATTTTATAGTATGTGACTATCTCAAAGCTGTTTTTTCAAAAAAAAAAAAAAAAGCGTTACTGAGTAACTATTTCTGGACATAAAGCCCTGCATTATATATTTTTGACAACTTCAGTAGGTTGTAAGGACCAGCTTTAAAAGACCATTAAGTAGATTATAAAATAATGTGAAACAAGAAAAGAACGTTTAAGACATCTCTCAGGGAAGTTAGATAAAGCAAAATTTACATTTAATCTTTCAATATGCTCCATATTGCTTTACATATAAGATTCTCAAGTTACTTGTGAAATAAAAATACCAAGCTGCTCCTCTGGAATCACACATGTTATTTTTAGAATACGGCTTCTGTACACTAGAGAAAAATACAAAATATCCATACAAAGAAGATGTTTATTTTCTACTTCTTTTTCAGAAATTTGGCTGAGAGTGGGGGGGTGGTGGTATGGAAAGTACTAAACATGTTCATGGAGCTCCCTCTGGTGGCCTAATTATCAATCACATCTTTGTTTTAGTAGAATCCTTTTAAAAATAATGATTACAGAGCAAATCAAGATTTTAAGAAATAGAGACATTTTGATATATGCTTGATATATATAAACCTTTTACAATAATACATATTTCATTTTTGAAAATGCAAATGAAAAATGGTTATAAATTTCTTTATGAATTTCTTGTGATTCACTTCTTCTACTTAACATAATGCTTTCAAGATTGAAAAAGTTTCAAAATCAGTATGAACTTGAATGAAAAGATGATTAACCTTCTGGGAAAAAAAAAGGCAAAAATAAGTGATGCAAAAACCAAAGGGAGAAACTTATTTTAAAAGTTTTACTTTAAAATAAGTCAATTTGGGCCCTCCCTGGTGGCACAGTGGGTTAAAGCACAGCACTAAGAAGCTTAAGTCACTTCCACATGAGCTTGATTCCCTGCCTTGGAGGAAATCCACATGGTGCGGCAGACTTCTCCTGACTAGCCCACTGCTCCCCTCAGCAGTGTACTTTGTTGATCTGCCTGTTCTGCTCCCCACTCTGTCTCTGGTGAATCCTCTCACCCTCCACAACTCTGGCCTGTACTCCAGTTCTGTATGAATAAAAAAATAAATCTTAAAAAAAATAAATAAAATAAAATAAGTCAATTTTAGGTATTATAAATCTTTTTTTTTAAAGATTTATTTTATTCATGTATACAGAACTGGGGTACAGGTCAGGGGTGCAGGGTGGTGAGGGGATTCATCAGAAACAGAGCAGGGAACAGAACAGGCAGATCGACGAAGTACACTGCTGAGGAGAGCAGCGGGCGCTTTAACCAGTTGCACCACCAGGGAAGGCCTTCTAATTCTTTTAATTAAGACCTAAAAACTTTTACATTTGATTGTCATTTCTCTTTGTTTTCCTCTGATTTTCTTTTTTACATGAAATGACATGAAAATACATTGGAAAGTTTCAAGCAGGAGGATGCAATGAAGTATAGATGAAACATTTAGGCTACTTGAGAACAACAGTCTGAGGGGATACAGTTAAAAGCAGTATGATCACAGAAACCAGGAGATTACAACTATATTCCAGGTAGAAATGAGGGTCAGGACTAAGGTGGTGACAGAAATAAAAAGCAGTCCAAAAGTTTTTGTTAAGAACAAATGGAAGGGTGAAGATTTCATTTACTGAAATAAAGATGATCAGTTTGAGAAAGGGATAGATCAGAAGTTTAGTTTTGAGATGCCTATTAGAACTTCAGTTACAGATGTTAAGACAGATATAAGTCTGTACTTCAAGAAAGGAGTCCAGGCTGGAGATAGAAATTTGTTTCCATGTACCAATGCTGTTGCAGAAATCAATACTAGAGAGGAGTTACTGAAGGACTAAGTCCTTGAGTGTTCCAGCATTTGGAGGTCAGGGACATTAAGAGGAACTTGCAAGAGGCTGAGAAAAACTGTCACTAAAGTAGGAAGAAAATCTGAAGAATGTAACAACTATGACCTCAAGTAAAGAATACATTTCATGAAGGAAGGGTAATAAGCCAAAAATCTGAGTTACAATAACTTTAAACTTTTTTTATGACAGTTTTTAACCAAACTGACTATGGTGAAGTTTATCTTTCAGCAGTGTATACACAAATGTATACCTAAGCAGGCAAGTATGTATACGTGTGTGCATATACCTAAGTATGCAGGCATTGCCACCGACATTAAGGAAAGTGTCAAATTCCTATAACGAACACTGTGTTCCTGAACATGACATGTAAATGCCATGGAACTTAATTTTTTCATCTGAAATATGATAGAGTACACTATAACACACCTTCCAGTACTATGGTTTTATCTGACTGTGGATTCTCAAATACAAAAATGTCCCAGATTTTTATCAATTATATCATAGATATTTACTTGTTTTTTGCATAAAGTAAAATGGTTCTATTCAGATTGTTCAAAAGTGATTTTATTTATATCACTTTCTTTGTGCCCCAACTACTCAGGTAATATATCTACTAGATGTTTCTTTATGACTTTGTAAGACTTCTTAGAACATGGTGTGGCAATGTTCTTTGTAACTTAATAAAAACCAAGCTATGACCATCAGGGCAACTGAATTGAATTTGTTATTAATACACAACTTGTATTATGGCCATACCTGTTTATGTTTTTGGAGTGGTTTCTTTTCATGTAATTTTTTATCTCCGCATTTCTTATATGCTAAAGGTATTCCATATTTAGCAGCAGGCTTTGTAATTTTCTGAGCAGACACAACAGAAGCCACAGTTTGTCCTGAAGTTGGTCTTTTAGCTACATGAAAAGATACAGATAATTTTTTCTAGAATTCTTTATAATAAACCTTTCAAAACTCTCCAAAATAGCAGATTTTTCAATTTCACAATTACTGCCAGCATTTAACTTGAGACTTTTCATTAAACATTCACTCCAGATCACAGGCATTCATTATAACTATTTTATACTAATATAAGAATAAAATTCTAAATTTTATTCTGAAATTTATCATATTAAAATTCTGAAATTTATCATATTAAAAAAAGGACACCCTAAAATTGACTATAAGTAAATGCATATATGTGTAATATAATAAAGAACAGTGAATTGTAGACTTCAAACAAGTAAACTGAATGGTATATAAATTACATCTCAAAATAGCTGCTAAAAATTTTTAAAAAATTAAAAAAACACATTTCACTGGTTTAGAAATTATTTTCAAAATCAGAACATAAACATTGAGAGCAACTCTTAAACATTAATAAGTTCATCACTGTTTGGCAAAGTTAGTATCTTCTTCACATATTGTCTCAATGATGTCTATATCCATAAATTGATGAAGAACACATTCTTTAAAATAAGCAATACAGCTAAGGGACTCATAATGTAGGTACTTTTACACCTTGTTGGTGGGAATATAAATTGGCCAAACTTTCTGAAAGTAAACATCCTGTAGCATTTATATATTAAATTCTTATTGAAACCTAGCGGAGGTTCAACATTAGAATGACATTTTTAAAAAGTTATTAAAAGTAGCTTACTACTTAGATCTCTCAAAGGCATTAAAAGACTACTTGATATCAACTCCTACCAAAGCCTTTTTACCTCTCCTTAATTTCTTCCACACCTGCTAAGGTAAGGTATCTTTCTGCTGAAATTCCCCCCTGGCTGAGTACTAGTGTGCTTTCTTTCTCTGTGAGGCTTCAAAGAGAAAAAGTTCAGTTTTTTTTTTTAAATCATGTGTTATAGTAATTTAAATCAATTTCCTCCATTAAGTATTCTTCCTTTTCACAAGGTGAAAGGAGAAAAAAAATTCAACGGGTAGTTCAAAGTAAGACTTTAAGGTCAGTTCTTCAAAGAATATTTTAATTTTATTTGAAAATGTTCACCATATTATAAATTGAAAACAAACAAACAAAAAATTCTGCAATGTAACCCAAAGTATCAGTCATTATATATGTCATCACAGATAAAAAATACCAACTAGGGCCCTCCCTAGTGGCACAACGGGTAAAAGCACAGCTCTATGAAATGATTGGCAGCCACCTCAAAACGAGTTCGATTCTTGACCAAGGTGACCCACATGGCATGTCAGACCTCTCCTGACCTGCCTGCTTCTCCCCTCAGCAGTTTATTCCAGTCAATCTGCCTATTCTGCTCCCCATTCTGTCTCTGGTGAACACTCTCACCTTCTTCCCCCAAACCTCTGGCCTATACTATACCTCTCAGTTATTGTACGAATAAATCTTTTTTTTTTTTTTAAAGATTTATTTATTTATTCGTACAGAACTAGGGTACAGGCCAGAGATGTGGAGGGTGATAGGATTCACCAGGGACAGAGCAGGGAGCAGAACAGGCAGATCGACGAAGTACACTGCTGAGGGGAGCAGCGGGCGGGTCAGGAGAGGTCTGCCACACCATGTGGTCACCTCCAGGGCAGGCGGGGATCGAACTCATGCGGAAGTGGCTTTAGCTTCTTAATGCAGTGCTTTAACCCGCTGCGCCACCAGGGAGGGCCAGTACGAATAAATCTTTAAAAAATATACCAAATCTAACAGTATGTTAAGATTTGAAGAAATTTTTTTCCGTTAATGTTTATAATAAAGTCATATATATATATAAAATTATAAGTCATATAATCAAGTAAATGCTCACAAAATTAAAACATTGGCAGTCTGATTGGTAGTTCAGAGATTCATGAGTAATTTGTGTTGAAGATATGAAATACAGTGTGGTAGGGTAAGGTGTTTCAAATATGTTCCAACAGTAGCCTGATAGGAACTAGGGTATGTAAGAAAAAAATGTCCCTATTAAGAGTTCACTTGTGAAATCAAATTGTAATCTGGTTTAATGTGTTAACAGAACCAAAGAAATAATGGCATATGGGCACAAAAGCATAAAAATGAAGAGTACCAAGAGTCAGATACAAAAAGTTCTAGAAAGAGGAAAATGGCTTATCTGAACTTAAAGCATTTCTCAGGCTCAATAACAGGCAGCACAAAGCTCAAATGGGAAGTATTATAGGCCCATCAACAACACAACTCCCATTTCAGCCTTGTGCTATTATACATTTCATTCATGCATTGCCTGTGAGAGCAAAATAACTGTAATTCCTCTATAGGCTTATTATCCATGTGGCAGAATGTGCTGACCACAGGGAATTTTTAGACTTTCAGACAGCGGGTTTTTGATTAAGATTTGACTTCTCATGAGGTTTGACTTCTAGGAAAGAGATGCTGAATCCACCATACATTCAGTCTCTTGTGAATTGTGTTTCAATTGAGCTGATTTCCTAGGGGTTAACAGGCTCTATACACTGAAAGGATGAGTTTAAGAGTCTTTAAGAAGAGCTAAGTACACTGGTGTGCCTAAAAATACAATGTCACACCACTTCCAGTTAACATGGACTCAGTTTTATGACGTGGCATTTATTTTTATTAATTTACTAAAACTCAAAATGGGCTAGCACATGCAAAGCATTGTTTAAAAAATTACATACTTTTGAACCTTAAAAAATTCTGCTGAGCCCCCCTGTTGGTGCAACGGGTTAAATAAAGCACAGCACCATGAAGATTGCCATAACTACTTCAGCATGAGTCCAGTCCCACGCCAGGTGATCCACATGGCGTGACAGACCTCTCCTTACCCACCCACTGACCCACTCTCAGCAGTGTCCTTCATCAATCAACCTGTTCTGCTCCTCACTCTGACTCTGGTGAATCCTCTCACTGCTTCTGCACCTCTGGCCTATACCCCAGTTCTGTATGCATAAATAAATCTTTAAAAAAAAAAAAACTTCTACTGGAACTCTCCTGCATTGCTGGTGGGAATGTAAACTAGTACAACCACTATGGAAAACTGTTTGGAGGTTCCTCAAACTGCTAAACATGGAGCTTCCCTATGACCCAGC